TAGTATCTGCCTCCACCAATGTGTAGGGGAGTAACAAAGTAGGAGTATAAAACCTCTCTCACCCCTATAGTTGTCATCCAAATTCTGGATTGCTATCAAGAGTCTCCAGACCAGAGGAGTAAGTTGACCAGGAGATATGTCGAAGAACTCTGACACCTTATCCAGCAAAGAAGGAATTTGACCCCTGAATCCCGATTTGAAGTAAGCTACGTAGACCGGGACCTTGTCGACTCTAAAATCCTAAACCCTCTAGGAAGGGCTCGGAGCACGGATAACAACTTCTCCAGGGAGGCTGTACTTTGTCCTCCATTCATCGATCTCCTTCATCCCTATTTTTGAGGGGGGGGGGGGGCTGATCGATGAAAACTTCTCAGCCTTAACGCTAACCTCCCTCACTACATTAACAGAATCCGACCTAGGGCTCTCTACCGACGAGTAAACAGATGGCGAAGCGGACCCTATCGGATCTAGGGTTTTGGTCTGTTTCCTAGATCCAACTCTACTCCCCACAGAGGACATGCCTAAAGAATAGCTAGAAGGTTCCGACGTTGCTAAACGGAAAAAAGAAGGGAAAAGACGGCTACCTGTTCCGAGAATGAAGCAATCATTGGAAGGGACGAAATCACCAAAAGAATCACCGGAAGAGAAAAGCGAAAGAGATGAGAAGATCGAGAGGTGTGCGAGAGTGTGAAGTAGAAAACCCTAAGGGTGGTTCCTACGCGCCTCGAAGACACCAACACGTGCTAGAACGAACGCCAAAATCAAAGTGATCGTGGGCCGACTCTAAAGCCCCCACTCTCCTTCCAAAAGATTTGGCCCGAGAACTCGACGAATTACTTCTTCCGAATTTACGGCCCGACCCCTTTTGTTCTGGATCAAGAGGCCTTAACTCAAGAGGCAGGGACCTTTCCGATCAGAAGTCGCCTACCAGATCACAACTCAAGATAATCAGTTCCACGAGGCTCAGGCCCTGAAGATATCTACTGAACACCATTTTACCAAGGGGAATACAACTTGCTCCAGGCCACAAACACGGTTCCGGCCTAATAAGGACCTGGAGAACAGGGTGCCTAGAGCGATGCCTTACTTAAGGGGAATCTGCTGATAAAGCGACTACGGTCCACCTAGACACACTTTATCCCTTGATTCCATTGATGAAATCAAGGAATAAGGGGCAAACTGTTGGAAAAAAATATCCAAGCACCAGATCCCTCCATCTTCCGGGCTGGACACTGGCCACTAGACCCATACTCTGAAGGGACCCAGGGCCCGGACCCTGCATCCAGATTCCCCAGGCCTGACCCCTGCTCCAAAATCGACCCTTGGATAAAATAGAAGTTCTCCACTTAAGGGAATTCTTCCATATTCGCCAATATGGAAGGGTTTAACCTAATGCAAGCCGACATCTACACCTATAAAAGGGGAACCCAAACCATAAAATAAGGGATGGACACTTTAGAGATTGAGAGACTAGATCTAGGCGGCTAGAATTAGGGTTCATACACCAAACATTGTAGCTAGAATTAGGGTTCATACACCAAACATTGTAATCCCCTTCGAAATACTCAATAATACGTCTCCTTCTCTATTTGTTTCTCTTTAATTTCTCCTTGCCTCTTATAAACCTTCTTGTGTTCCGTAGTACTAAAGACTCTCACTTCTAAGGACCATACGCCACCTAATCCAAATCTTACTGGACCTTAAGCCACAGTGAGATGAATTTACCCTACAAGTCAGAGTAAACCATCTCTTCGACTACCTAAATCCACCAAAATGATACAAGACAATTAACCCACAATGAAACTAAACTATTCATGGAATTACAAATACAAATTAAGCTGAGTTTACCATATAATCGATGTGTTCTCCATGTACCATCAGCAACAACACCAGAGACTCCTTTCCAGAACAGGATGAGCCATCATAGTTCCTTGTGTTATCCTTAGCCTTAATCCGGACAGAGAATTCGAAATGAGAAAGTTGGGCTTTGGTAGCAACACGAACCGGCAAGATATTAAAGCATCTGAAAGAGTGAAACACATACTACCGGAATGAGACACATCATCAACTCCGGTGCTGGGATGTAGCGCTTCACCACGTACGCCAATGGGGCTCAGCTTCTGGTTGACTACTTCATTGTCGCAAACCCCAATACATGTTGTCACTGAGAACCAGAGGATGAAGCTTCCTTCAGTTAGCCATTAGATCTCTCCTCCGGTAGTCTCACCGCCGCTCAGGAGTGAAGATCCAAGGTGAAGGAGGCCTCTGACCATTTCACGAGCCCTCGTTGAGAGACGATTCGCCGCAGATCTTAAAAATATAAATTAGATATGGGAGATATCCAACCCTAAAAGCGGACCCACTCCACCACCGTCACTCTGTGGATCTCGATGCTGCTCCAAAGTAGGTCAAGACCATCTCCGTCAATCTACAATTGATTCTTCGGATAAGGCTCGCCAAAATCAGAACCGCTTGCATATCCATGAAGGAGCATAACTGTGGCGGTGATAGCAAAAAGAAAAATAGAAAGAGAGAAAGAGGAGTGGCGCCTCCGACATCGATAACCGCCGGGCCGGAGCAAAGGGTTTCAACCTTTGATTTTTAGAGAGATGGGAGAGAATTTGATTGTTAAATTTTTCTCGATGTTGATGTGTTAATAGTAAATAATGTGAGTTTTAGAATTCACATATACAATTAACTGTAATTTATTTTTGGCTTGTAGTGAAAAGTATATTTTCAGATTTTGATGGAATTAATTAACATGTAGCCAGGTGCTAAGCGGGGAAGGATGCAGATGGCCCTTCGCACCTCGTAGAATGTGCAAGTTTAATGAAAATTTGTTGTTAAGGGTTTTGCCTTTTAGCCACACCAAAAACGAAAATACAAGTTACTATAACTTTTTATTTTTTTTCCTTTTTGTTGACAATTGCAAGCGTTAAATTAGATAAAAACTTTATTTTTAACATCAAAAATCTATTCTATTACTCAAGTTTGAGGTGGTCTGGGAATCCAGACCAGAATAGAACAACCAACAAAAACCAAATGACGATAAAAGTTACGAGCAACCCTAGCTAGACCAAATACAGTCCGATTATGCGTTCTTGGTACATATGAGATCTTGAAGTCTGGAAGTCTTCCCTTAAATAAAGCAAACTCTCCTAGCTCTGGGAGTAACTTGGCCAGTCCTTCTGATTCTTAATCATTGCCATAACATTCTTGTATTCCGTCCCAAAATGTTGACTGTTGGTGTTTTGAATCATGCTCTCCATTGCCCACATCAAGGCTTGTAACTCTATATGCAAAGAAGACATACAATTTTTTTTCCTTAGTTCTAAGGGCTGCTCATTTCCTAACCCGTCCTTCCAAACCCATCCATATCCGTTGCGGTCTGCTTCAGCTGTCCATGATCTATCCACTAAACAAATGTTTTGCAAGCTTATGGCTTGCGTATCCATGTGTGTTGTCTGATCTACTTATGCGGTTTTTGCATTTGCTTGAATCCAAGCATTACATTCACTTTCTGCATGCCTGACCAGTTCAAGCGGATCTCTTGAGATGCCTCTGAAAAGTTTGTCATCATGTGCTTTCCATAGAAACCTGAGAATCCATGGATAAGGATCCCTGTCTAGTTCAGGATCTTCATTCTCATTCTTTCTTCAGAACAGGTATTCAATGTTTGTGAATATGCTTGTTGTTGGAAAGGTTCCTGGGAACGAGAGTTTCGAGGCAAGGGCCCATGTCTGCAAAGCCAATACGCATTCAAAAATAGTGTGATTAGATGTTTCATCCGGCTCACGACATCTTGGGCAATAATTGTCGCAACACAAATGACGTCTTGTTAAGTTTCCTGTGATCGCTATATATCCAGACACCAGCTGCCATATATGATGACAGATCTTCTGTGGAGCCTGAATTTTCCAAGCAAAAGCGTTTAAGCTGGTTATACTTGGTTCCTCCACCAGTTATTCATTCTCACGGTTCAGAATGTTTTTCGCGACCCAACCGTATACATTCTATGTTGAGTATAACTCCATCTATACTTATCTTCTCTATTGGATTGGCTTATACCTAAACTTCGGATGAGTGGAATGTTGAACAATAAAAATCTCAAGCATCTTCACATTCCATACCTTCGGAGATCCATGAATCAGATCACTAACTATCATTCGCAGATTTACCATGGAATAATTGCCGAGCCAGTCTAGCCAGGACTGATGGTATCCACGGATCTTCCCAAGCACGTATTTGGTAACCTGAGTGAATTTTCTGATTGATTCACAACAGTAAGAGGGTTTAGAAGTCATCAAACTTGTCTACACATAAGATGGGGAAGATGTCTCTACAACTCGTAATGGCGAACTTTATCGATAGTATGTGAAAGAAAAGAATTCGGAAACTGTATTAATTTCCAATTAGATAAAACTTTTAGTTGCGGATTGTGTTGTGTGTTACTTATTTTTGTTTGTGTGTAATAAAAGGGAACTTATAGCATGAAATGCTAAGTGGTTTTGTGGAAAATAAAACATTTTCTGAATAAGGAACGATATTATTAATATACTATTTGTAAAGTAGTCAGGAAAAGAATAAAAAGTAATTTTTTCTGGAAGTTCAAATTCTAATGGAATACAACTAATACAAAGAAGGTCCAATTTTTTTAATCGAGTGAAGTAACCTAGGGGTTCCACTTTCTCGACGATCGGTAGACTAGTTAGGGATCGTGTTCTTACTCTTCAAATCTCAATGCTAACAAAAAAAATGAATATGCTTTTTGTAACAACTACGTTAGTCTCCTATTTATAAACCCTTTCCCGTTTCACTATTTGAAGTAGAACGTTTACATATTCCTGATTAGCAGCTACTCCTGATTCTTAATCTGTAACCATTTTCTCCTGTTTTTTTTTACATCAACCCATATTCTTTTTTTTTTCTATGGTTTTTGTTTTCGAGAAGTAGTTCGATCGAACATCATTTTATTCTCTTTTTGTTCTTGCTTGAATCTGATGGTTATAATGATTGAACTCTTATTTCTTCTTTCTTTTTTGGTTGAACTACAAAGTAATTGCTTTCATATAAACCTTGAGAACAAAATATTGAAAGATGCGGTAAATTTTATTTCACTACTTTTAAAGATACCAGTTTCATGGTTGTCTTTCATTGCCCCACCACTTCTTCATATCATAGATCTTGGTTTCTCACAAATCCTCCTAACCTCAGCTGCTTTGTTCTTCTCATTTTTCTTCTTCCCTCTCACAATTCAAAAAGAGTCCAAGGTTCAAGATCTTGGTCAACAAAACTCTTTAGAAGTCATTAAAATATATAGGCCCACTGATGAGACTGTCAGAAATAAAGACGAAGACAATGGAACAATCCCTGATGAGGAAAGCCTCATAGAGATCTCCTTACCAAGCGGCCAATATGTTGGCCAACACTTCAGTACTATTACTGGACATCAAGATTTCGGGTTTATCCAACTATTACCCGAGTTTGAAGACGATAATCTGATTGAAATCGATCTTTCTCTTGGATCCGTCAAGTGTTCCAGGTTCCAGATCAAAGCCTGATTCAACTTCATATATTTTCTACACCTATGAAGCTCATAAAAGTTTGGATGTAAAGTAATTGCGGTATTTTTTGCACGTCACAAGTGCTGCTTGTTCTAGATCTCTCCAGTTTTTTGGGGTTTTGCTATTGTTATATGTTAGGTTCAACACTATTTCTAGTTTTAAAATTTCTTTTAATTGTTCCTAAGTATCCAATCAAAATAAATATAATACAGATCAAATGTTCAGTACATTCCAATGACAAAAGGTGCAGATCGAACAGTTCAGTTCAGTAAATTACTGTCTTATTTGTATTTTTCAGGGGTGGCTATATGACTGTTGGGTATGGTGAAGGTAAACCACAAAATAGAGTGTTTTAAATCACTATCTGAAAAATATGTTAAGCAAAGGGTTTGCTCATTGGTTTTAACTTGCTAGAGAAATCGTTTTTTTATAAGCATGTAAATTTTCATTAACAACATAATAACACAAGGAATGCAACTATTTTTGAGATATATATCAGCAGAATTCTTCATCGCATTGAATTTAACATTATATTTGGATTAGCAAACTTAGATCTAGATCATATGATAATCTTGCATGAGTTAAATACTTATTCGCAACTAGAGTTAGTCTACATATCAGATTGGAGACTAAAGCTTGTTTGATTCAGTGAATTCGCAACAAGAGTTAGTATTCAATTAGAGTTAAGCATTATCGCAGAGAGAGTTTAATAATGTACTATTGAATTCGAGTTCTAGAACTAATTATAATAATACTCTAATATTCGTTTGACTGCAGTTCTGATCTCCTGTTTGATTTTCTTCAATCTAGCGTTTTTTCATTGCTTTAAAACACAATTTATTACTGTTTTGTTTACTGGTTTCTTATTATTGACCTAGTTTAATCTGATAATAATAAGTCTATTGTATAAAACATTGAGCCTTTATATATATAATTCCTAAGTGCTACATCGAACCTCTTATTTGTAGAAAAGAAACCAGCCATGAACGAGCTAATGAAGTTATTACGAGGATTTTAAAGAAAAAGCAAGAGAAATATGAGAATGTATTTAAGACTGTTGATAGAAGATGGAATTCTCAGTTTCATCAGCCTTCTGATGCAGTTGGGTACTTCTTTAATCTAGCTATCCATTACATCAATCATGAAGTTTTGTGTTGTGAAGAATTGGAGACTGGTTTATACATTTGCATTAACAGACTCGTCCCAGATAGTGAAGTTCAAGATAAGATATGGCCATTAGGCAATGAGAAATGAAGACACCAGGTAAAGAATTGTAATGCAATTTTGTTGGGGGTCAAAATCGGTTACTACGTAATCAATGCTAGAAAAATTCCATGAAGATATTTCTCGACTTATGTAATGTTCGTATAATTTTTGGAAAAGAGTCTTTACGAAGTATTCTGGAATTATTTTGTCAATAAACTCAAAGCCAACATATGGATTCACTGATTTTTGACAACGCCTGAGACAAATCTAAAAGAACGACCAAAACACTATGAATCGGGGTCACCGTATGGGACCGGTCAGTTACAGGCCCAGGTCGCCGTACGGCGACCTGTCCGTATGAGACCAGGTTGCCGCACAGCCAACTATCCATCACAGGACCAGGTCACTGCCCATCACGAGACCAGATCGCCGTACGGGGTCCGCCCATCATGAGACCAGGTCGCCGCACGGTGATCCACTCATCATGAGACCATGTCGCCAGTGACTTGTCCATCACGGGACCAGGTCGCCGCATGGCCACCTATCCATCACGGGACCAGATCGCCGCACGCGACCTGCCCATCATAGGACCAGGTCGCCATGCAGCGACCTCCCCATCACTGACCAGGTCGCCGCATAGTGATCTGTCCGTACATGATGCACCACAGATCGAGCATCAAGGTGGTGATCATGTCGACCAGCACGACCCAACCAATGTTTTTCCATCAGCTCGTACCATCCCATTCGGTCACACTGATTGTACCGATCGTGATGTCTATCATATCGACTCGCCGACTTCCGAAATTGAGCTAAGAATAGATCCACGACCTAACGATTGAACTGACTAACCCACATGCTGATTTCCCGACCAGCTAGACAAGCTAACACTGAGGGTCAAGCCAAAATCAACTTGGAATGAGAAGAACCCGATGAAGACTGTTGGACATAAAATCTGGTCCATTAACTAGAGGTCCGTTAAAGAACTATACAAGCAAGTCCGCGGAGCATTCGAGGAGTACAACGAGAACGAGGCTAAATCTAATGGCTACAATAAGGCCCAGGCCCATGTTTTATTATCACATCGTGGTCAACGGACACTGCGATGTCAAAATGGGACCCCGAAGATCGCGGGAACAATTAATTAAAAAGGAGGGCTATAAAAAAAAAGCTAGAATGGAGTGCAAAACACACGGAAAAACCCTAGAGTTATTTACTAATCACATCGACCTTACTCCAATGATTTCTAGTTCACTTATTGCTTTTACTTTTCATTGTTGTTTTTGATCTTGTCCATCACCTTGTAAACGAATCCTATATCAATAAAAGTCCATTTTTGTCAACCTAATTCTGATTGTATAGTTGTGTTTAGGATCAACATTTTGTCGACTGTGGGGAAGATAAACGAAAAACGCCCTTGCTAAGAACCTAATCTAGGATATCTCAGCACAATTATGGATCCTAACCGAACTCGATATGGATATCCCAAAAGAAAAGCAGTCGAATGCAATTCTCGGGGAACCGATACCATTGCGTCGCCAAAGAAAACACGACAATTTGACAACGATACTGGTGCCCACCCAAAAGAAGAGCTCCGCACCGAGAAACGATTTCCCCTCCAAAAAATCAACAGCCAATGAGGGCCAAAAGAGAAACCAAACACCATTGAGGAGACTTCGACCCAAAAAGAAACTCTAACTTTCTACGAGCACGGAACTATTAAGCTCGATATTCCAGAAGATTGTTGGGAAAAAATATCCAGGACCAGATTCCTCCAGCTTCAGGGCTGGACACCGGCCTCTAAACCCCTGCTTTGAAAGGACCCACAGCCTGAACCCTGCATCCAGTTTCCCCGTGCCCGACCCCTGCACCAAAACCGACCCCTGTGTAAAATGGAAGTTCTCCACTTAAGGGAATTCTTCCATATTTTCCAATATGGAAGGGTTTAACCTAATATAAGCCGACATTTACACCTATAAAAGGCGAACCCAAACCCTAGAATAAGGGATCGACACTTTAGAGATTGAGAGACTAGATCTAGGCGGCTAGAATTAGGGTTTATACACCAAACATTGTAGTCCCTATTCGATTAACCTAATAAACGTCTCCTTCTCTATTACTTCTCTTTGATTTCTTCCTGCTTCATACAAATCTTCTTGTGTTCCGTAATACTAAAACGACCCTACACAAAAATACCATAACAACTTGGCGCTAGAAGGAGAAGAGTAATCCAATTACGTGACGATGACACTAGAAGACTCAGCCAAACTAGCCGGAGCCACTCTGAGAGAAACCGAGCTCCTAACCCGGCTCGATACCCTTCAAGGAAAATCACCGAGCTCCGCAAGACCCAAGAGGTAGTAGGCGATAGCTTAGAGCTTCTCCAAGAAGTCCAAACCCGAAAAGCTAAACTCGACAAGCACACCCAGAAGCTGCAGCGAAGCGCAGAGAAGTTAGGGGCACTCGAAGCCGAAAACCAGCTTCTCCAAGAGGAGAACCAACATCGCGGAGAGAACAGCAACAAACACCGGAGGTTTCGAACCCGAGTCCAAACCATGCCCTTCCTCGATACTCCCACCGATGAATACGGTGTGTCTCGTCAAAGAGCTCTCGACGATAAGGAACCCGGGGCAAGGAGACAACGACGAGGAAAGCACGGGAATGATAAGCAGTGACTCCGACATGGAGGACGAGGAATACTCACCCGACGATCCCTCGATCTCGGATCCAGCTGCCGTCGCATGCCTCAAGAAAAAGTTCTCCGAGAGATACAACACTATCAAGTGCATGGTAGAAAGGCTTCCAGGCATAGCTCCCCCGGTCAAGAGAAGCAATCCCAGCTCCTACTCCGATACACCCTTCGTGGAGGAAATCTCTTCGATCGAGGAAATTTTCTTTCCCCAACATAAAGACCTACGATGGGACCAGTGATCCAGACAACCACGTGGCTCTCTACAAACAACAGATGCTGACAGCAGCGATCCCCCGAGGATTGAGAGAACCTGCCATGTGCAGGGGCTTCGGCTCGACCCTGACCGGTCCTTCCCTCCAATGGTACATCAATCTCCCCACGAAATGCATAAGGTATTTCGCAGAACTGAGTGACAAGTTTGTTGAGCAGTTCGCCAGCAGCAGAAACCTGGAAAAGAAGTCCGATGACCTCTACGAAGTACTCCAGCACAGAGACAAACCTCTCAGGGCCTACATCGCGCATTTCAACCAACAGAAGGTAGCCATTCCCGAGTGCAACGCAGGGACGGCTGTCTCTGCCTTAAAAAGGGGCCTGCTCCCCGACGGATACCTGTACAAGGAACTAACCAAGTACCAATGTCACACAATGGAAGACGTCTTATCTCGGGCCTGGGCTCAAGTGAGATGGGAACAGGATATCACGAGTCAAGCTAAGGCCCAACAGAATTAAGAGCCCAGATCGAGAAAACAGCCAAGAAGCGCTTGCGACGAAGGATCCCAGTCCAGGCCCTCAAGGGAAGCCAGCGAACATAGCAGAGGTAGTTATCAAAATTGCCCCCTACCTCGGCTTGAAGGAATGAACGTGTCAACATGGCCTGACATCTTGCACATGTCCGTCTCGAAGCCCGAGCTAGTAAACGCCTTAAGAAAAATGGACCAACAGGTCAAATGGCCTCCGAAGAAGAGGGCTGCAGACGCCAACCGAAACCTCAACCGATGGTGCGACTTCCATAATGAATACGGTTACGAGGTAGATTGTATCACCGTAAAGCTAGAGGTTAACGTGCTTCAAGAGAAGGGGCACCTAAAGGAGTTCCTCTCCGACAACGCTAAGAGCCTCCAGACCAAAGAAGGCACAAGCTGATCCACGTGATCTCAAGACGCTCATCGACAAGTGGAATAAGCCACGCAGCTGCGAAACGCAGCACCAAGAATGCAATACACGGCCAAAGGACAGGGAACCCGAAGCGCCTGCTCCTCGGCACAGATGAGATCAGTTTCACTGCCAAAGAACATAAGAGG